GCAGGGAGTGGGGCGCATTGAGGAACCTGGCCTTGAGGCAGCAGAGAGAGTAAATCTGGCCCTGGGTGTCCACAAACAATTTATGATTATTTAAATGAATGAGTTCTATTAGGCGGAATCGACTTTCACAACCCACAGCAACTTCATATTTGTAGAGAGCTCCCACTCTGAATTCCCCATCAGTATAACAACTGTAAGGTCTAGCAAAGCAGTCTCTCTCCTCGCGCTGCTTTTATCAGACATATAAAAAAGGAAGCAGCAGCCACAGTAGGACCCCCCCCCCCCTCCATGTGTAAAAGCCACCAAAGTGGCAGGTGAATTATAATGGCAGAATCCACCGCGGCTCAAAGGTCAGTTTTGGGTGGAATGAGACTTTAAAGAAAAGTGAATATTTAACAATGTATTGCGAGTACCTGATGTGGGGCGATCAGTGTTATTCGCTCTACTCACCGAAACATTCTGTGATACGGATCTCAATAAGAGGAAGGTGGCTGGTCATATCCTCCAAGATGCAGACATCACTGATCAAGTTACTAGAAACAGAGAAGAACAGGAAAGTCAAAGCGATGAAATGTGTTACAACAAACAATCCTAAAGTTGAACTCTATTTATGTTTTGCTCGTCGTGGTTTCTTCTTCCTCCTCCTCTCATCAACACAATAATCACATGGTTAAATAAAACCATTATATGATTATTACACACCTCATATAAGATCCATGTAATATCATTGGCGTCTCTGAGATTCTCTAGGCAATGCTGACAGATCATGGCTGGTGTACGGTGGCAAGAAGGGTGCTGAACATGACGTCATGAAAACTTTTCAACACCCTGCCTAAGAACACCTATCAACAGCGCTCAGTCCAATATAGCCAAGTGAAAGGAAGAAGAAGGGGACCACACAGGCCAACACGCTAAAGATGGAGCACGTGGCAATTTGGCAATCTTGCTCGAACTTGTCGGTAAACTCAAGGTAAGCTGAGAGCAAAACGTCTTCTAGACCACATTCAACAACAACGTTCCCCAAGTTCTCAAGTCAAGTCACTCGTTCTATTTTTTGGAACAAATCAGCAAGCCCAGCACCAGCCAGGCATCAAAAAATTGAATGAAACTCATAATTGTTCCTCTCCACGGAAATCTTTAGTAAAAGGCGAAAGATTTATACGATCTGAAGAGAAACCAGAGTATAAAGGAGAAACGCGTTGCATGAGGACTCCGGCAGCAGACAGGTGTTGCTCAACCCTCGGAGACTCCATCATCCATTCCGGCTTCCGAGCAACTACAACCAGATAGAAGGCGCACCACTGATACAAAATGACACAGCCAATAGAAAAAGAATATAGCACTTCAAATGAGAGGACATACGCTCTGAAATACATCAGGCTCATGCAAATATAGCCAAGGGAAAGGACCGCCTCCCGCAGAGGATGATGGGAGAAGGCCGCTATTGAGCGGGATCGCCTCATTTGCATGTCTTTGGAGCTGCATAGCAGGAAGCAGTAGGCTTGCTCCCCACCATCAGGCGCACGGCAACCCAGTTGGGCTCAAGCCTGCGGCTCTTTGCATCTCAAGGATCCCGTTAAACAGAGTGGAACAAGGGGACCACGCAGGCCAACACGCCAAAGATGGAGCACGTGGCAATTTGGCAATCTTGCTCTAACTCGTTGGTAAACTCAAGGTAAGCCGAGAGCAATTGGTCTTCCAGACTACGTTCAACAACAACAGATCTTGATTATTTGGGCTCCCTCATTAGGGAATTGATATGGTTATGACGCATTTCCTTTAATATGTTGTTATGGTTTGTTTTGAGTTACATTTGATGTATATCGATATGCAACTTCTTCAGGTGCAGTCTGCGTACTGCAACCTGAGTCGTGATAACTGCCGAACACCGCACGTTTGTATTTTCTTATGCCTAATAAAAAATTGACATGCTTAAAAAAACCCAACAACGTTACCCAAGCTCTGTAAGTCAAGTCACGCGTTCTATTTTTGGAACAAATCAGCAAGCCCAGCACCAGCCAGGCATCAAAAAATTCTAGGAAACTCATAATTGTTCCTCTCCACGGAAATCTTTAGTAAAAGGCGAAAGATTTATACGATCTGAAGAGAAACCAGAGTATAGAGGACAAACGCGTTGCATGAGGACTCCGGCAGCAGACAGGTGTTGCTCAACCCTTGGAGACTCCATCATCAATTCCGGCTTCCGAGCAACTACAACCAGATAGAAGGCGCACCACTGATACAAAATGACACAGCCAATAGAAAAAGAATAAAGAACTTCAAATGAGAGGACATATGCTCTGAAATACATCAGGCTCATGCAAATATAGCCAAGGGAAAGGACAGCCGACCGCAGAGGATGATGGGAGAAGGCCGCTATTGAGCGCGATCGCCTCATTTGCATGTCTTTGGAGCTGCATAGCAGGAAGCAGTAGGCTTGCTCCCCACCATCAGGCGCACGGCAACCCAGTTGCCTTCGGCCCTTCGCTTCTCAAGGATCCCATTAAGCAGAGTGGAAGAAGGGGACCACGCAGGCCAACACGCCAAAGATGGAGCACGTGGCAATTTGCCAATCTAGTCTTCTAGACCACGTTCAACAAAAACTCCAAGCTCTCAAAGTCAAGTCACTCGTTCTATTTTTTTGGAACAAATCAGCAAGCCCAGCAACAGGCAGGCATCAAAAAATTCAGGCGCACGGCAACCCAGTTGGGCTCCAGCCTGCGGCCCTTTGCTTCTCAAGGATCCAATTAAGCAGTGTTGAGGAAGGGGACCACGCAGGCCAACACGCCAAAGATGGAGCATGTGGCAATTTTGTCCCAAGACGTGCCGCCACACATCCTAGAGAACACAAGCAGGAGCCTCTTCGGTTGGCTGCAGCAGCAACTTTCAATTGAGCGCAACGGCATCCTGCCAACAAGTCAGAATTTGCCAATCTTGCTCTAACTAATTGGTGAAGCAGAGGGTAAGCAGAGAGCAAATTGTCCTCTAGACTACGTTCAACAACAACACCAAGCTCTCAAAGTCAAGTCACTCGTTCTATTTTTTGGAACAAATCAGCAAGCCCAGCACCAGCCAGGCATCAAAAAATTCTAGGAAACTCAGTTCTCATATGGGTAAAATTAGGAAACCATATTTGTCACCAGATTCAGAGACATATTTTAAAAGTGAGTGAGTAAGCGAGTATGCACCAAGATACAATTCTTACACCCCCTGTACTCGTTAGGTTGTTTATTTAAAACACTTATTAATTGTATTCAATTTATAATTCATAACTTTTTATATAAAAAAAACATTTAAATAAACAATTTCTTCAAATGAAACTGCATTGTATTAGGTGTAAGATGGGCAAGTATGGAAAGGAGCAGTGACTAAATTTTGAGTTACATTTGATGTATATCGATATGCAACTTCTTCAGGTGCAGTCTGCGTACTGCAACCTGAGTCGTGATAACTGCCGAACACCGCACGTTTGTATTTTCTTATGCCTAATAAAAAATTGACATGCTTAAAAAAACCCAACAACGTTACCCAAGCTCTGTAAGTCAAGTCACGCGTTCTATTTTTGGAACAAATCAGCAAGCCCAGCACCAGCCAGGCATCAAAAAATTCTAGGAAACTCATAATTGTTCCTCTCCACGGAAATCTTTAGTAAAAGGCGAAAGATTTATACGATCTGAAGAGAAACCAGAGTATAGAGGACAAACGCGTTGCATGAGGACTCCGGCAGCAGACAGGTGTTGCTCAACCCTTGGAGACTCCATCATCAATTCCGGCTTCCGAGCAACTACAACCAGATAGAAGGCGCACCACTGATACAAAATGACACAGCCAATAGAAAAAGAATAAAGAACTTCAAATGAGAGGACATATGCTCTGAAATACATCAGGCTCATGCAAATATAGCCAAGGGAAAGGACAGCCGACCGCAGAGGATGATGGGAGAAGGCCGCTATTGAGCGCGATCGCCTCATTTGCATGTCTTTGGAGCTGCATAGCAGGAAGCAGTAGGCTTGCTCCCCACCATCAGGCGCACGGCAACCCAGTTGCCTTCGGCCCTTCGCTTCTCAAGGATCCCATTAAGCAGAGTGGAAGAAGGGGACCACGCAGGCCAACACGCCAAAGATGGAGCACGTGGCAATTTGCCAATCTAGTCTTCTAGACCACGTTCAACAAAAACTCCAAGCTCTCAAAGTCAAGTCACTCGTTCTATTTTTTTGGAACAAATCAGCAAGCCCAGCAACAGGCAGGCATCAAAAAATTCAGGCGCACGGCAACCCAGTTGGGCTCCAGCCTGCGGCCCTTTGCTTCTCAAGGATCCAATTAAGCAGTGTTGAGGAAGGGGACCACGCAGGCCAACACGCCAAAGATGGAGCATGTGGCAATTTTGTCCCAAGACGTGCCGCCACACATCCTAGAGAACACAAGCAGGAGCCTCTTCGGTTGGCTGCAGCAGCAACTTTCAATTGAGCGCAACGGCATCCTGCCAACAAGTCAGAATTTGCCAATCTTGCTCTAACTAATTGGTGAAGCAGAGGGTAAGCAGAGAGCAAATTGTCCTCTAGACTACGTTCAACAACAACACCAAGCTCTCAAAGTCAAGTCACTCGTTCTATTTTTTGGAACAAATCAGCAAGCCCAGCACCAGCCAGGCATCAAAAAATTCTAGGAAACTCAGTTCTCATATGGGTAAAATTAGGAAACCATATTTGTCACCAGATTCAGAGACATATTTTAAAAGTGAGTGAGTAAGCGAGTATGCACCAAGATACAATTCTTACACCCCCTGTACTCGTTAGGTTGTTTATTTAAAACACTTATTAATTGTATTCAATTTATAATTCATAACTTTTTATATAAAAAAAACATTTAAATAAACAATTTCTTCAAATGAAACTGCATTGTATTAGGTGTAAGATGGGCAAGTATGGAAAGGAGCAGTGACTAAGTAGTCATTGTCATCCATTCCAAGCTTCAGATAAATCATAATGGGGAGGAGGGGCGTATAAGCCGGGGTGGCAACTCAAAAGAAAGCAAAAACACAAAACACGACCGTTCATATTTGGGGGGGGGGGGGGGGGGGTTTACGCACCC